ACCTTATAGAGTTTTAGCTACGACCAGAAAGCTTTTAAGGAAGATGTAGAATTCTATCCCAGAGCCCACTGGCTCCTTCTGGGAACTTTTTCTGGGATCATAAAGATGAACAGAAGAAATATTAAAATGACAGCGTACATGGCAGGTGAAGCAGACTGGAAAAAGGTTCTACTCACAAAGCCAACGCATTCCTGTTGAAATAGAAGTCTGGGTGACTGGATAAACAACAAAACAAACTCAACCAAATCAAAGGAAAATAGGGTTTCATGTAACACAGTATCAAAAAGTAGATGGAACAGACTAAATGCCCCATCTGGTAGCAGGCAAGTCCACAACCTATTGTGATAGGTCCGGTCCTTCCAGCATCAATCAGATTTCTTCTCATGTTTTCTCAAGTTTTTTTTTTTTTTTTTAATATAGGTGTGGTGACTTTAACAAGAGTCTAACAGTGGGTAGGCAGGCAGGCTTCAATCATTCGTTTCAGGATCTGTCTGTGCCATGTAGGCATCCAACTCGGCATCCAGGTGTCCTTTAGTTTTCGACATGTATGCATCCAGTTGGTTGTCCAGCTGCTCCTTGGTCAACACAGGGCGAGTGAGGGCACCTCTCCCTCGGCCACGGCCACGGCCTCGGCCTCCAAAGCCCCCTCTTCCCCGACCTATCATACCCCGACCTGGCCAAATTGAAAAAGAAAAAAAAATAAAGAAGATAGTTACACATAGGTTTGATGGTTCCTAGAAAAAGTGCCCCGTTATACTTTGGGGGCCTAGCTGAGATGAGCTCAGGGTAAAAAGAAGTATGGAAAAAACAAGAAAACACTGGGTAGAAAGCAATACACGGAAAGCACACACAATGAGTCCCTCTTATGTATTCATCTTTAAATGCTACTAAAAAAAAAAATCTGCCCCTCCCACTCTGAGACAGGGTCTTGCCATGCAGACCAGCTAGCCTTATTTTAAACTTGCACTCCTGGGCAGAAGTGTAGCTCAGTTGGTAGGGTGCTTGTCTAGTATGGACGAAGCCCTGGGTTCAATCCTCAGCACCACATAACGAACACCTGTAATTCTAGCATCTGGGAGGCAAAAGCAGGAGAATCATAAATTCAAGGCCAGTCAGGGCTACAGGAGACCCTGTCTCAAAAACAAGAACCTCCCAGTTGCTGGGATTAAAGGTGTATATAATTAGCTGAAAAAAATTAAACAACATTAGCAAAGATTCCTAAGACAAAGGAACCACCAAAAGTTTGGAACTTACTAAGTTCATAATTAAAATACATTAAATTAAAATATATAATCCTAGTTAGTTAGGAGGCAGTAAAAAGGGCACAGAGAATCCAGGGTTATCACAGTATTCTTCTGTATCACCTCATCTGTTATTCTAGAGAAAAAACTTAGCCGCTACTTCTCTGACTGGTCACCTTAGGACAACTATTATCTGAGAAATAATTCCAATTCAGTAACCTAACACTCAGCTTTCTCAAAATCGACTAGTCTTTCCTAACCTCTGAAATCTCTCTCAGAAACTATGTCATGACAATCTGGAAATTGTCTTGGAAATCCTGAAACCCATACAAGTTCATACTTCATTCAATAAGCTAAGTGACACAGAATGGCAGAGAAAGAAACACACCCTTATCAGATGTCCTAAGTTATTCTTCAGCACCATCAATGTTGTGGATTATGAAGACCTATCCCACACTTTAGGATGAACAAGATCAATTATCTATAGAGCTTACTAGAGTAAGTTGTTCAACCCATGAACAGGTAGGTGTTGGGAGTTTCTTGTTAAGCTCTTAAGCCAGAAAACATCCCATGAAATTTGGTATTGACACCACAGTCATTCAACTCTTCTGATTTGGTCCATGAGATCACAAGACAAGAATCAAGGCACCAAGGTAAGATTACTAACAACAGCCAGCTGGCTAACTGGTAGAAACACATCTTTCAGCATCGATCAGGAAAACTGTGTTTAGTTCTTCACAAATCCTACATAAATCCTTGGTTTCAGTGCCAACAACAGGTGCCAGGTCTCATCCTGTTGGACTGGATCTGGAGTCTCATGCAGACTAAGCATAGAGCTACATCCTTCACCTTTATCTCCCTCTTACTTTGTTTCTAGGGGTGTAAGATTGAACCCAGCACCTCACATATGACAGTAAGTGTTCACTGTGCTTCACCTCAGCTCCACTTCACCTATCTCCATTAAACTGGCTTTGGCCTAAAGAATGGGTGTGTAATGGTGGTGGTGGTGGCAACAGCAGGTAGATACAGAAAAAAGGAAAAATTCCAAGCCGGTCACTGCATCATTTTAATAAACAATTTAAATTTCTAAAAACCTGGAGAATGCTAAAATGTGGCTCTGGAAAATGTACCCAACTGTTAATCCTAATAGACCTTTGCATTATCAGCATGTTAATTTAGAAAACAAGCCAGTTTCAAAACAACAAACAAGACAAACAAACAAGCCTGCCTGACTTGAAGCTGTGCAGAAAGGTGGCTCTGAGTTTTGAAGGGAGGAAAATAAGGGGAGCTACTCTCTGAAGTTGGTAGCTGACTAACCTCTACCACCGATTCCGCCACGACCCATAGCTCCACGCCCTAGGCCCCCTCTCCCAGGACCTCCACGACCTCGAACACCACCTCTTCTTAAGCCCATTCGGGGAGCTACGGCTCGTCCACCTCGGAGCAGGTTTTGACCTTGGAGAGGAGGTATACAATGTATATGCAGGTAAATCCAAGAGAGACAAAGTAGATTCTAACCAAAGGAAGGCGGTGAGGGTTAAATAGTAATAATTAGTTAATGTTTAGTCTGGGTGGGGCAAACTGCACAGTGTGTGTGAGCAGATTAAGCAGTTTATTCAACTTAGTAATTCTGATCATAGCCATCTTTGGGGAAAAAAAAAGATGGGACTTAAGTTCATGAATTTAAGCTAACAATCAGATGCCTGGCATTATGGTAGATTTAAAAATAAATGTTAATTCCTGTTTTCAATATATTCTTGAGGGGTAAGAACTTTACAAAGGGAACAGGGTAACATGTCCCAAGAGAATGATACAGATAGGTAGACACAACGGATCAAACTGTCCCCTCTCTTCCAGATTAATAGTTTTTCATTTCAGGAAGGCAGTCAGTCAGTCATGACACAGGTCAAAAGACCCATACTTTTTTTCTTGGTATTGAGGATATTCAACCCAGGGCCTCGCACATGCTAACCACACATTTCTTAAGACTTATTTCCAGAACTTGAATGTGCTTTGATTCAAGCAGCAGCAGGTGTTTTCAAATGGAATGGAGATGACATGAATTACCTGTTGCTATGCAGGTCATAGCCTCTCACCATTGCACATTATCAGAAAAGGAATGATATCGATAAAACACATGCAGCAGTACTAAAAATGTGATTTCAAAAGTTATTAATTAGATTAATACAAATTTAGGATTAAAGATGCTAAACAAATATGACCATAAGCAGCTCAAGAGAAAGGGGAAGAGGATAGAATCCAACCACTATCAGCTACACACAAACACTGACCTCGGAGAGACATCCCGCCCCTAATCAGAGTTCTGGTGGCACGTCCCCCACGTAGTCCTCCTCCTCGGGGCAAGCCTCTTTGGATTATGGGTAGGCCTCTTCCTCCAATTGCTCCCCTGGCCAGGGCACCTATGGGTCGGCCTAAACGTGCCTGGATGTTACTCTTACCCAGGCGCTGCTTTAAGCTCTTCTGGAAAAAAAGGTGTTAGAGGATTGAGATCAAAAAAAGCAATTCAGTGGGATTAGGCAGTTTAAAGTATAGGGACAAAAGAGGCAAGTGAGGCACCTGGTGTGGAGGGTATAATAAGCCTGTTGTGGGCAACATAGAATCCCAAACAAAAAAGACTTTATTTACCTCAAAATATGGATAAAGCAGAATTCTGATCCAGAAAAAAAGCTCTAGAAGTTCTAGCATGGTGTACAACACTGGCACCAGCGCAGACAACCTTACTAAATGACTACTCAAGTCACAGCAGTAGCTGCAAACCTGATGCTTCTTAGACACAGGTTGACAATCACGTGTCTTCATCCATACCTGCCCAAGAACTACACTGTTTGGAAAGGCTTACTCACACACCACTGGAAGTGCATCACATTCTGGTAAACTTAAATTACAAGTTCACTTGAATTCTTGAGACTTAAGGACAAGATTGGCTTCTCAGTCAAAGAGGCCAGTGTGCTCCAGTTTTCCTTTGAGTATCTATCGCCAGACGATCCTTTTTATTTTATTTTTTTACCTTAAGATGCAAATAAACAAACAAACAAAATCAACAATCCTCTCCTTTCATTTCTTAAAAATCTGTAAATTCCACATTTCCCATTGCCAATAGTTTCCTTAAGCCAGAAGAATGGCCTTGAAAACACAATCCAAATATATTTTCATAGAGAATCAGTTAAATTCATGTTAAAATTAAAACAAGTAATCTATTAACCACAAAAGACCACACATAGAATAAGTACATACTAGATATATTAATTTTCAATATTAGTTTCTCCAATGGCTCTGAAGATCACATCTCAGATAGATTTCTTCAAAGGAAAAAGAGACAATACAGCCTCGAATATAACCAAGATTAGCATTCTGGTCTTCCACAAAGCCAGTCAATATTAATGAAAATGGTCTTCTTGCACACGATCCACTTCTGTCACACACTAATGGCACAGACATATACAAAGGCCTATGCATGTACTCTTTCCCTGAATTAAGAGCTCTGCAAAAGATGCTGAAACATTAGCTTTCAGACACAAAATCTTAAAATGCTTCCAATTAGAGGAGAAAGGCTCTTATCATTAGGCACTTAGCACAGGCAGGCGAAAGCGACCTCAAGGGCCTGTCTTGTTACTCCCCCAATTACCACAGTAATTATTTTTTGTGGTGCGTGGGCATGAAATTCATATACTTTACCACTGAACTGTACCTCCAGACACTAGCACACAACTATGAAGTCACAACTGCATTCTCATGTTCAATTACTGAGTATACTCGTTCTCCTGAACAGTAGAGCGGGGAGTCCGTCTCCATCCTGGACACTCATAGAACACTCATAGCACTACTCCGTTTTTACTCCAGAGCTGTGCTGCATAATAAAGTAGCTACTAACCACACACACACACACACACACACACACACACACACACACACACATAGACATATATATACTTAAATTAAAAAAACAATTTAGTTTTTGATCTGGGTGTGGTGGGTGGCATACACCTTTAATCCCAGTATTCTGGAGGTACAAGTTTAGTTACATTTCTGTGAGTCTGAGACCACCATGGTCTACATATAGAGTTCAGGCTAGTAGTAGCTACACACTGAGACACTAGCCTCAAAAGCACACCAAACAATTACAAAAACCAAAAACTAAACAAAATTTGGGTTGGCCTTGAACTCATAATGCTTCTAAATTCTGAGATAACCACTGTATATACCCTTCATCTGGCCTTAACGTAAGTAAAAAGAGAAAAAGCCCCTCCCTCTCCATCACACGAGCCACACTGCAAGTTCTTTACAGGACATGGGGCTATTGAACAGATTCAGAGCATCCTACCAATGCTGAAGTTGGTGTTTGCTGCTGCTTTAGACATTAGCCTGTTGAAAGGACCTGGCACAGCGTTATCAGAGATGTCATAAATTTTATTTACTCTTGGAAAACGGTGGGCCTATGGCTTATTGCTCTACTGAGTCACGGATGAATCTAACCACGCCACGGCTGAAAGGTAGACAAAGCAGAAAGCCTTGCTTATTTTCAGTCAGTGAGCCCAAAGGTTCAGAGTGAGGGGTGGGTGTTATAAGTGCTGACTCTATGCACAGCCATGCAGTGCTACCAGTTAAAGTCCTTACAGTTGCATGGCACCGCCCTCTGGACGCCCAGCCACAGCTTGGACATATCCTTCCACAGCCACTCTCCGGACTTGCATATAAAGTCTACGAATGATAAAGAGCAGGTTTTATTTCAGGCCTCAACAGGATTATCTCGTACTGGAAATGTGAAAGAGAACTAACATTTGATCGTCCTGTATGCTTGCTCTCCTGTGATGTAAAAACCAGGGGCTGTTTTTAGCACTGAAAACCTTAGACCCAGGCCATTCAGACTCTGCACTAGGAAGAATAAGATTATTCTAGCTTGGAAATCATTTTATATATAGCTAAGCAACTAAAACAAAGTTATTCTCCTGTTTTTTGGGAAGTGGTGAGAACTGAATCAGGGGGACCTTGTGCTTGCTAGGAAAGAGCTCTACCAATGAACAACACTCTCAGACTAAACAAAAGTTCTTTGTAGAAAAAGATTAAAAAAAAAAATGCTATTTCAAGAGTAAGGATCAGAAAATAATCAATTAATTCTCACTGATAAACCTACAGAGGTGTCAAACTCCCGAGGGAAAAAAGTACTAAGTTACTTAAGCCGGGTGGTGGTGGCACAGACCTTTAATCCCAGCACTTAGGAAGCAGAGGCAGATGCATCTCTGAGTTTAAGGCCAGCCTGATCTACAGAGTGAATACCAGACAGCCAGGGATACACAGAGAAACCCTGTCCCGAAAAGAAAAGACAACAAAACCAAAAAAAGTTACTTAATTGGTACCTGCCTAAACTGGAATTCTTTGAGCATTTGTTCAGAGAAGTTTCAGCTTTTGCCTGAGCCATCTTCTAATCATCCATTATATCCTGACAGCCTTGGTGGACTGCCTGACAGACTGCCAAAACCCATTCTCTCACCTGCTTAAGTTTTAATGCTGCCTGGACAGAGGGTCTATTCTCCATCTGCTGGGCCAGTCTTCTGTTTCTGGCACTGGCTAGCTGCTGCTGCTGCTGCATCGAAGCCCGAATATTCACTGGCATCGGCTGTTTGTTCTTCAGCATATTAGTAAAGCTTCAAGGTCGAACAAAATGGGTGTTTAAATAAAAGCTTTATTATAAAACACTTATTGGCATTTTCATGGCTTGCTAGACCAGGAGCTCCAGATCCCACGAACTTTAAAGTGGCACATTTGGATCAAGGTGGATGTGGGTTAAAGACTCCTCTGTTTCCACAAACTTGCAAGAACCAGAAATTCAGAATGCAGTCAAGTGCAGCACAATTAAAAGTGATAACAAGGGCTCAGATAACAGCTCTTAGAGAAGTGGAAAGTATGAAAAACACGCATTAAGCAAGTATGATGATAAGAGACAGAGATGCAGTTACAAAGACAAACAAAATGCCTACACCTTTGGAGAGGGAAGGGTTCATTCTAAGGACAAACAGGAGGAAAAACCAGAACACCTTTAAAGTCCACTGAAATAGTACAGACAAATTATGTAAGTTTATTACATTCTAACATGTTACTTAGTAACACACGAACACAGGTAATTAACGTATTACATCTTAAAATATGAGCAGAGAAGTACATTTGCTTTAGAAGCAAAAACAGACATTAAATGCCTTGGAACTTCTAGCAACAACATGATAAAATGGTGAACGACACCAAATAAATGAAACTCTCAGAAACAAAAACTGCCTTTAAATAAATTTTCTCAGTCTTCAAATAATCACTTTTTCTAACTCAGTACTTCTGAGAAAATTAAATTAATGCCGCCACTTAAGAGCCTATGAGGACATTCTATCATTTCTGTTAAGTTTTATGGAAGAAAACACACAGCTGTCAAAAGAATTCAAAACAAAACAAACTAAAAAGCAGAATGGAAAGAAAGTGAAATGGAGCAAAGCAAGTGCCTCTTACAAGGCCCAAGAATGACATTCAGGGGCCTTTGGACATAGTTGCGGCTTGCTACCTGCCTCTTACAGGCCAGACACAACACTGCTGGTCTTGGACTAGGCAGCAAGCCTACTGCAGCCAGGATACACCGTATCATCATGCTGCACCACCTGTATCAATGTTTAAAAAAAGAAGAGTGTGAGGAGTCCTTCAAAAAAATGTATCCCACCAGGAAAATAGTTCAGACAGCTTATCTACTGATAAGGGGTTTTGAAACAACCGCCCAATTTGTTTTGTGTACCACATTAGATGCAATTAAGAACAGAAGTCTGAAGCCTTCTGTTATTTAGCTTACAACTGGTTTTTGTTACTGGACCCCAGGGCCAACTTAAGTACTGTTTCCTTAGAAGGAGCTGAAGTTGCTGTTGGCTGCCTCACCGCTCGTTTAGAGACATCTTGGTGGTGCTTTTTAGCACGACTTTCGGTGCCGACTGAGCAGCCATCTTCAAATCCCGAGAATCTACAAAGGACAATATGCATAATGAGTAAATTAAAGCAGAATAATCAAGATCTTGTTTTCTTTATTTCCTTTTTTTTTCTTTTGGCTTTTTTTTTTTGAGACCGGACTCCTTTGTGTAGCCTTGGCCGTCCTGGAACTCGACCAGTAGACCAGCTACTTCTGCACCCAAGTGATTAAAAGGCCTGAGCCACCACCTCTGCCCAGCTGATTACAGTCTCCTGAAGAACAAGGCATAAACCAATGAAAGGCTGGCCTATATTACAAACTCTGAAGATCATATTAAAATTCATTTTAAGAACTTAAGTTTACATCACAAGTCTGTCAATTTATTAAAATGTCAAAGCCCCAGTATGGACAATGTCTGCCAAAGTCTCCAAAATGGCAGAATCAAATGTAGCCAAGGCCTAGGAGCTTGGCTTTCACTCTTCTTTTCATCCTAGACTGATTTAGCCAAGGAATATTAAAGAAAAAGACCCCACACCAAACTTAATTTACCTTAATGCCTGGATTTGGACCAATTAAACTACAATCTGGCCACGAGGGCTGGGGAACAGCAACTGGGGTTGGAGGGAGAGCTACCTAGGTGCATCTTAGGTGCCTATAGAAAACTGAAAGACATGGATCAGGAAACGTGCAGGAGCCGGGAATTTAACACAGCTCAGCGGTGCAGGGATTGTCTAGCACTAATGAAGCCCTAAGTTCAATTCCCATCTGAGACAGGGGAAGGGTGAGGTCATTGTGGATTACACTTGACACTGAGGCATGAACTCTCTCTCACACAGACAAATAAAAAGGAACAAATGCCTGATTTCAAAACCGATTTTCAACTCCGAATGCAAGTGGAGTTCTAGTAAGATACGGCAGGGTAAAGTCAGAAAAGGTTTTCTTCGGGTATTCAACATGAGAGCTCTCTGAAAAGCACGCCACAAAATTTAACCGTAGCCAGACCTGATGGCCAAGCTCAGGGCTAGCCTGGGTTACTTGAGGTCCTGCCTCAAACTAAAGGTTTTTTAAAATAAAAATAAGAGGTTGGGGACGTTAACTCGGAGCGCTTGTCTAGCCAAGCAGGGCTTTGGGTCTCATTTCGGTGGCCGCAAAACCAAACAGCTAGAGCGGCCGCTAAATCCCGTGGTCCTTACATTTAACCTTCCATCCCATTCTTAAAGCCTCTCAAGGCGCCACTGGTCAGTTGCTTATTTCCGTTGTTACCCCTACCCACCACCACCACCACTCTGGGGGGGCTGGGGCTCCGGCGTGGGCGCTCGTCTAGATAAGCAAGGCTCGGGGCCGAAAAGCCAGGACCAAACCACCGGAACCATACAGGACCAGCGGGGCCAGCACCGCCGACGCTGCCGGCCCGCTCGCCCGCGCGCCAGCCCGCCCGCCGCGGTTCCGGCTCAGCCCCCGCCTCCCGGCTCCGCCCCCTCCCCGGCCTGCGCGCCCCGCGGCTCGGTCCACACCTGCCGCCCGCGCCGCCCGGCCCGCTGCCCGCGCCGCCCCGCCCCGCCCCGCCCCGGCTTCCCCGCAGAAACTCACCGAAGGAGACGGACGCCAGCGCTCCTCCCGGGGCTGCCACCACGGCTGCGGCGCGCGGGCCGGGGGCCGGCCGAAGCTGAGCTGATGGGGCCCGCTCGGGTCAACTAGCTGGGCGGTTGGGTTAGAGGCTTAAACGGTTTGACGCGAGACTCACTCCTTGCGGGCGGGTACCTAGTCGGCCGCTCCTCCCGCTCGTCAGGCCTGCCCTTTCCTTCCCTTCGTTTGTGCCACCACGGCCGGCGCCGCCAACTCCCGCTTGGTGCCCAAAACAAAATGGCTGCCAGGCATTAGTGCAGCGTGACTGGCTAAAATGGCGTCGACGCACTTGCGTCATTGCGCGCGCAAGCAGGGGCGTGGTAAGTGCTTTGGCCGGCGCAGGGATCGCAGGCGAATCCCCTAGGACCTCGGCGAAGGTCCCTGCAGTTAGGTGTGGTGCTCTGCCCGTTGGGCAGTGGTCGGTGGCCTTAATCGCTAGGGTACCTAATAAATTACCTTCTGGACGAGTTTATGCCCCACTTTGAAGGGGTTTCTGATTTCAAAGAGCAGCTTAGGTTTGATTGGAAGCAATGTTTGTATCGTTATCCCCAATCCCTAAACTCTAAAAGATAACTCTTAAAAAGTCTTTATTAGAACCTCAGAGCCTGGGTGATTTGCTCTGGCCCTCTACTCATCCCTATTTGTGGTGTGTGGTTTTGGTTCTTTGAAACAGGGTTTGACCATGCTATCTTTGAACTCACAAAGATCTGCCTGCCTTAGGCTCCCAAGTGCTGGGATTAAAGGGTGTGCCACCATGCCAGGCAGTGTGTTTTGTTTTTATTGTTGCTTTTTTTTTTTTTTAGAGACAGTGTGTAGCCTTGGTGTTCCTGGAACTAGCTATGTAGATCAGGCTGACATTGAACTGAACTCAAAGATCCTCCTGCCTCTGCCTTCCTAGTGCTGGAATTATTGGTGTGGACAACCAGCTCTTCCGTGTCCTTTTATATGGGCTGTCATTAGAAGCTGTGGCTAGTTTTCAGGTGGGTCTTCTCATCTTGAATTATCCAATAAAGCATATCATCTGTCACAGGTGTGCCTAGCCCTGTTTTAGTTTTATTCCAGAAGTATTTAGTTTTAGTTGATTCCAGAAGTAGTCAGGTTGACAACTAGGATTAGCCCATTATATAGGATGTCTTACTGTGGAGCCCTGGCTGGCCTTTGAACTCTCAGAGATCCTCTTGCCTCTGCCTCAGAGGGCTGGGATTAAAGGTGTACTTCACCAAGCCCTAGTTCAAGCCACCCCCACCCCCCAATCCATGCACTGTGCTGGAACCCATTGAATTAAATCCCCCCACCCAGTCCCTGTGTTCAGAACTGTAAATGGCTGTAAAGGCTGACTTTGATGTATTTTCCTTTTTCCTTTCTTTCATTTGTTTTGTTTTGGTTCCCTCCACCACTGTCCCAGGGTTTCTCTGTGTAGCCCTGGCTGTCCTGAAGCTCATTCTATAGACCAGGTTGGCCTAGAATTTACAGAGATCTGCCTACCTCTGCCTCCTGAGTGCTAGGATTAAAAGTGTGCCACCACTGCCCTGAATTTTCTTCAGTTTTTTTTTGATGGCTTGTGTGTTTTTGTTTTTGGAGCTAGGCTCTGGCTATGTAGTATGGGCTGGCTTGGAACTCAGAATCTTCCTGCCTCATTCTCCAAGTGCTGGGATTGCCAGTTGCTTATATAATTTCTTGAGAAGCCATTGGCACTTCAATTTCAGCTAAAAGTTTGGACCCCTACATTTTTGGGTCTTGAGTGTTCCTTAAATAAGATAAACTCTGCAAGATAAAGAGTTGGGAGTGAGCCCTCATACTTGACACATATCCAGACCAGAGGAGACAGACATTGACAGCTGGTGAGGGAAACCTATTTATTAAAGTGCACGGCAGACCTGGACCACTACTCTTGTGCCCTTGGTGAGAGACTGGGTAAGGATAGAGACATGGGGAGGTACAGGTGGGGTGAGGAGAAATGGGCTAAAGGGGGAAGCCTGACAAGGTGGAGAGGAAGGGCACTGCCCACTGGGGCCATGTGCTCAGCTGTTCTCCCAGAAGAAGTTGTTACAAGCCACTGTGAGAGCAGCTACCAGCACGACATACTCCTGGAAGTCCACCTCCCCGTCTCCGTTTTCATCCAGTTCCTTCATTACCTTGTCCACAGCAACTGCATCCTTCTGGACCTGTGGAAGGAGAAGATGGAAATTTATACCACTAAGTTAGAGCCTGCACAGTGGTTGAGAGGCAGAAATGAGCAAGTGAGACTACTATGTATGGGAGTCTTCTGCAGCACTACAGACTGGTGCGCTCCTCTTGCCTGCAGAAACTAGCAGAGGTAATACTAACAACAGTTGCCGTACATGATGGTCTACAATGTGACAAGTGCTACCCTAGACCTTACAGAGTTTTAACAAAAGATACACAAAGTAATTTAGGGCTTGGTGGCAGATGACTTTAATCCCAGCTCTCAGTGGGGAAAGAAACAGGTGATCTATTGAAGTTCAGGGCCAGTTGGGGCTACACAGTGAGTCCCTGTCTCAAAACAAAACAAAACAAAAAACCCAAAGCCCCTGGTTTTTGCCACTTGACCCAAGCTGGCCTGGCACCTGAGGTCTTCCTGGGTCTGCCTTGTTAGTGCCAGTATTGCAGATATGTGCCACCAAGCCTGGCTTTAACACTAATGCAAATAATGTGGAGACATTTTCAATGCTTCCATTATAGAGAAGAAACAAATTGACAGCCGGGGTATAAACAAAAGTTATACAGCAACAAAATAGCAGGACCGCAGCTTCATGAAGCCTAGCAGTCTGTCTCTACTTCTCTGCATCTTCCAATTAAAGGAAGCTACTGAGCCTACTTCCCACCCTTCCTCCCATGCTTCTTTTCCCACGGACACCCCACGGACACCTCCTACCAAGTCTTAATTTACCTACAGTCTTCCCGTGGAAACCTATGCCTCACGTGCCACCTCAGTAGAGAAGCCATGTGCTTCAGAGAAATAACCTCCACAGTTCTAAGGTTCTGTATTTCTTTCAGTTCATGGTTTTACTTTTTCTGTTTTTTTTTTTTTTTTCTGAGAAAGGGTTCCTCTGTGTAGCCTTGGCTGTCCTAGAATTTACTCTGTAAACCAGGCTGGCTTCAGACTCACAGAGATCCTCCTGCCTCTGCCTCTTGAGTGCTGGGATTAAAGGCACGTGCCACCATGGCCTGGCCATGACTCCATTCTATGCTGTGTTCTGGATAGATCTGCAGTGCCTAGTATTGACAGGTGGTCAGTAAACTAGGGCATTTTGGCTTTACCAGGGAGGAGTGAAGAGAGCCTGGAAAAACCTAGTAAAGAACGGAAGAGGAAGCTGGTTGGGCTGAGCTTGGCGAGAGGCAGGGATATAGCAGGGGCACCCATCCCTTCCTCCACCCTGTACCTCAACCCTCTGCTCACATCCAGAAAGCCGGAGAGTTCAGTTTGTAGCAGGTCTTTCAGCTCCTTCTTGCTCAGCTTGTATTTGTCCCCCTCCTTGCCCGAATGGGCATGGAACACATTGATGAGGGTCTCCATGGCAGTCTCCAGCTCAGAGCCCATTTCAGCAGCACACCTACCTAACCCCACAATGATGGAAGTAAATTGTAAACCAGGTTTGGGATATCTGGGGTCTGGGTAAGGGGGATCCTCAGGCTTGACCCTGGTTTTACAGCTCAAATAGCTACAGGATAGGTCCCTTCTCCCTTGTACTTTTTCATTGAGATTTGGCAATGTGGGAGAGACCTAGCACAGGTAAATCAGCCTAGCATGCTGGTCTCTCCAGAGGGAGTCAGGGATGGGCATGGAGATCGAGCAATAGAAACTGGTGGTCTTGAGCATGCAACAAACTTCTGCAGTAGCTGGCTCCTGGCTGCCTGGGCAGAGACGGGGTGGGGTGAGGTGTGGCAGGCATGGGTGGACACAGGACTGGGCAGCCTTCCCGCTCTATTTTTACCTTCCAGGCCTGTCACAGGCAAGCTTTACTGTTATTGTAAGTGAGCTGATGTTGCTGCCCATCCCAGGAAGAAGTCTGCTATCTTTGGTGAGCTGATTCAGGGGTGTGGGAGTGTGGCAGTCAAGGTGGGAGATTCATGAGTTGTTGGAGAGGGGAGTTTCGCTGTTTGCCAGCTTCCTGTCGGCAGTCTGCCTCTTCCTCTTTAGGCACCAATGATTAAACCCAGGTCAATTGGTTATGTCTCCATCTTTTTGTACTTGGGATTTATTTATTTATAGCAGGGTTATATCCTATAGCCTAGGCTATCCTGGAACTAGCTCTGGCTGGCCCTCAACTTGTGTGTGGGCAGTCCTGTCTCCATGTGCTGGGATTACTGGTGTGAGCTGCCATGACTGGCTTCCTTCTTTCCTCAGTATGTCATTTTGTCTTCTCTGGGGCATGCTTCCCATGCCTCGTGTTCTGCTTCTCTCCTCTGCAAACCACCCCTTTCCGTCAGGTAGGCAGAAGGAAGGGAGAGGGAAATGTCTGAGGTTTTTCCTTGGAGACAGCTTCTAAGGAGGGAGCTAACCTGAAGGCGGTGTCCCTGGTGCTGTCCATGCCTGCCTCAGGCCGGCTCTCTTTCTGTGGCTACAGTGGGAGCAGGATAGGGCTGGTTTGTGTGGAGAGAAAGGACAGGGTGCAGTAGGTCATTTGAGCTCCAGGGCTGGGCGAGAACAGGAGAATGGACAGCTAAGCTAGGGGCCTCAGTCCCTTGGCTCTGGGAGGGTCACGCTTCCCACAGCCTCGGGGGAAGCTCAGATGTCTCAGATCAGGTGTCCTCATCCTTCCTCACCACTGTGTAGACTGGACAATAGGTCCCGATTAGATGACATCCCAGCTCTTCAATGGAGCCCTTGTGACTGTCACCTGAATCCAGTCACAAGAAGCAGTTGTCACAGAGATGGGGAGATAGAACCCAAGCCTGGCTGATGAAAGGGATAAGGGGGTGCTCAAGGGAGGAATTTGGGTGGCTCAGTTACCATCCTCATCTATGGGGGGAATCTGGAGGTTTGCCTGGGGCCCTCCAGCAGATTGGAATTTTATGAAGGGAGGACCTAAGGGTGGAAATAAAGAGGAAAAAATTTGGGGAGAGAGAAGTGGGGTTCAAGGTTGAAAATATAGGAATAAGGAGGAGGTTTTGTGAAGGCAGAGATGGGACAGGGCACAGTGCCACAGACCCCCTTTTCATGATGTCCCATGGCCTATGCCCTGCTGCTCCCAGACTTCCCTAGGATCCTGTTCTTGACAAGGCTGGTTAGGGATGCCAGAGACTGAGGCTGGCCAGGGGGCAGGAACAGCCTTTCTTATTCTTACCCTAAAGGAGCAGGGCTGACTCTCCTCCCTCTCCACACCTAGACTGTGGTGTCTGGCAAGAAGCACAGGGTCCTGTATAGGAAGGTCTGGTGGCCTGGGAGTTGGGTGGCATCTTCATTCACAAGCTCTTAGCCCTCTGACCTTCACTTGCCTCCTTTCCCCGCTTTCCAAACCGTATCTCTCCTAGATCCCAAACGCCCTTTCCCTTGACTCTCCCAGACCCTTGCCAGACCCTCGTAGCACCGCTGTATCCTTTTCTAGGACTCCTGGGGGTCTTTCTGAGGCCCTCTTTTCTCCAGACTGGCTAAGCCAGGGACATATCCCAGTCAGGGTAGGGTACTCACGGTTGACTGGGCCTGAGGTGGCAGCAAGTTCTCGACAGACAGGCAGGCTGCAAATGTGGCACCTGGAGCGGTGAGGGGAAACCTGTCTTTTGCTGTCTTTCCCTGCGGACCCTCCTCCCCGCCGGCTCCACCCCTTCACAAATGACACCGTCAAGGGCCAGGGGCCAGGAGTGGACAGAGGCGCCCTCTGTCTCCTGGGCGGCAACTGGCTGCCCTATGTTTTTCTTGGTTACACCCCCTCCCCGAGCCCAGCAGGAAGGAGGTGGAAGAGAAGCCCTGGGAAGTGTGCTGTGGTGCGGGCTGAGCAGGGAAAGGGGAAAATTCTGCCCAGGTTTGCTTAGCCTATGTGCCTCCGTGAGGGACTTCTGTCTCGGAGCTCAGCGGAGAATTTCAGTTGGGATTTCATTATGGGGGCCTCAGCCTGGGGCTTTCCAAGTGGACTTGGACTGTAGGGTCTTTTGCAGGGTCTCTGGTTTCTGAGACCGGGCTTTCCAGTGCTGAATTCTCCAACTGTTTTTATTTTAATTATTCTAAACAACAACAGTAGCAGCCCTTCTTCCTGATTAGCCACCGTAATGGGGTGTGATGGGACCCTCTGATCCCTCCTCATCAGGCTGTGTCCTGGTCGCGTGACGCAGTGTTGGGATGGCTAGTGACAGCAGGGGCGGTCCCCTCTTTTCCGAATCAGCGGAGGCGGAAACTTGACACTTCGGACTTGGGAGTGGCTCTCTTCTTCCCTGGTGCTTAAAAACTTCAGCCTCGAGGCTCCAGCTCAGCTCGGCGCATCCCACCTCCCTTCCCCGGGTGAGTTACTCTGCCTGACTCTGCAGAGAGCCTGGAGGAGACCTTCTTTTCTTTATCAGTTTTCAGGTTCCTCCTTCCAAGTGGATTCATTCGGGCAGAGATTCAGGAAGTGACTTTCGGAAAGCAGGCAAAGGTCCTTGCAGGAGTCTGTGGGTGGGTGAACAGAAATGAGGGGCATCAGCAGATGAATTTTTTCCCTTACTGGAGCCCCAGGGGCACTGGGTGTTCGTGCCAAATAGTTTGTGAGCTATGGGTCTGAGGAGTTTGAAGAGTCCCTTTCTGGACCTTGTCAACCATGGGCAGGAGTGGGGAAGGCCGGTGGGGTCTGGGACTGAGCACCCTCTGACCGCCTTAGACGAGGTGGGTGTGGAGCAGAGAAGATGGGTCTGGCCCGATTGAACCAGACCTGACCTCAGCTGGGCCTTTGCCAACCCTAGGCTGCTCTACTAGGAGCAGCAGCTAGTCTGTGGGAGGGTGGAGACTCAACAGAAATAAGCATTGGAGACAAACAGCTTCCTGACCCTAAGACAGGGAATGACAACAAGAAAGGGCCATTAGAGCAGAGACCCCATACCTGGAGTTACCACACTCAGAAGACTCCAAAGAAAAACCTCCAAAATAGAGAGACTACTACAGAGGTGTCCCTAAGACAGACACTTGAGAAGGACACACAGACGTGAGAGTCAGAGAAAAATAACTTCTGGAAGTGAATGCAAACTAAATACCGCTGCCTGTTCTGGACCCTTCATCTTTCCACGCTGACCCGCCCAGGCATTCACCTCACCCGTACTTGGATCCCTAACTCTCTTGGTCTCTTTCTTCCCATCAGGTTGGTTTGTGAGGACGTCAGCTTCTGCTTTGCAGTACTGATGGCAGCAGAGCCACTGAGTGAACTGGAGGCGGCCATCGAGACTGTGGTCACCACTTTCTTCACCTTTGCAGGGCGGGAAGGACGGAAAGGCAGCCTGAGCCTCAATGAGTTTAAGGAACTGGTCACCCAGCAGTTGCCTCATTTGCTAAAGGTTGGTAGAGGTCTCTGGGACTGAGACTTTCTGTGTATGCCAGGTGATGACCCTGAATAGATAGGGTGATGGAAAAGATTGTGAGTGCTGCGTGTGTAGGTGGTTCTGTGCTTCCCTGCCGTGTGTGCACGCGTGTGCACGCGTGTGCCCGTGTGTGTGCACGTGCGTATGTGAACTCGATGAGCAAAGACGCTATGATGTGTAAATGGGAATGTGTTCTTGTTGGGGTCTGTCCTCCTGTTGAACAATGCCTTTGAGTGCTTGAGTCTGCTTGTGTCTCTCTAGTCTCATTTTCTCAACACATTGCTGAACCCAAAGGTGGATTCCCAGAGATTTACAGTAAGAACTAGAAGAAGGCTTAAAAAAAATCAAACTGCATCCAGACATGGTGCCGCCTGCCTATGTGTCTGTAAGCCCAGCACTCAGGAGGCTGGAACCAGGTTAGGGAGACCCCTTCTCAACAAACAAGACATAAAGTCATAGGGAGCTATACTCTCAGTGTACCCGGGTCTATGAGGAGCGTCTTTGATTACTTCAGCTGCCTATGAGGGTCTCCTCAGTTAGCTCATTCTACAGAAGTGACAGGGGCTTCTGATTTATCGACTCTGAGTTTGTTTGCTACTCTAGTCTGTTAACAATTTATTTTAATCCTTTATGAAAATCCACAGGTACATAAAAGTATGTGGAGATAGCTGTGGTCCCAGCACTCGGGAGACGGAAGCAGGCAGAATCTTTGACTTTGACGTGAGCCTGGTCTACAGAGCAAGTTCCAGGACAGCCAGGGCCACACAGAGAAACCCTGTCTTAAAACACAACAACAAAAAAGAGTATGTGAATATGGAGTTTTTTATATTTATTTATTTATTTATTTATTTATTTATTTATTTAATTTGTTTTTTTTGTTTTTGTTTTTTGAGACCGGGTCTGAAAACCTGGAACTTGCTATGTAGTCTGGGCTGGTCTAGCCTGCCTCAGCTTCTCCAGGTCTGGGATTGTGATTATACTGGCATGCCGAGCTTTTGAACTCTATTTTTAAAGATGGTTTCATGTAGTAGCTAAGGGTGGCCTCAAACTCTTGATTCTCCCGCCTCTACTTCACAAGTGCTGAGATTACAGGTGTGTGCCACCAGTCCCAACATGAATATGGATTCACAGTTTTTCCATTTTTACTTTACATGTATGGGTGTTTTGCCTGCAGTTATATCTGTGTGCAACATTTGTGTGCTTGGTGCCTATAGAAACCAGCAGAGGGTATCATCAGGTCATCTGAAACTGGAGTCACAGGTGGTTGTGAACTGCCATGTGGGTGCTGGGAACTGAAACAGAGACCTGCTGGGCACACATTGTTAATCCCAGCCCTCAGAAGCAGGCAGACTTCTGTATTCCAGTCCAGTCTGGCCCATAAACAAGTTACAGGACAGCCAGGGCTACACGGGGAAACCGGAACCAAAACAAAGCAAAATCAGTTCGTTACATTTCTCTCTTCTGAAGATCTGCGGTGCACAGCAGCGTTCCACTCAACAGTCCTTACTCCAGCAGCCATTTCAGTATTCGATTCAAACGTCTGTGCGTCATGAGCCAGAAAACGTGTCGACCTTCCAGCTCTTGGGGCTTTCAAAACCTCCTCCGCCTCGTTTGTCTGATCACCCTCTGTTATTCCACTTCTTGCTTTTGTGTTCATTCTTAAACAGATTTTGTATGCACATGCAGTGCACATATCCTGGTGCCTGCAGGGTCAGAAAAGGGCGACAGATCCCCGGGGACTGGGATCACAGTGAACGCTAGGGTTAAAGGAATATACCACCATTTGAAGCCACAGATTTTTTTTTCCTTTTTATTATTTACTTACTTATTTTGTTTTTTTGAGACAGGGTTTCTTTGTATAGCCCTGGCTGTCCTAGAGTTCACTTTGTAGACCAGGCTGGCCGCAAACTCACAGAGATCCGCCTGTCTCTGCCTCCCAAGTTCTGGGATCAAAGTCATGCACTACTGCCCAGCCTCTTCCTTCTCCTCCTCTTCTTCTTCTTGGTTAATTTGTGTGTGTGTGTGTGTGTGTTTTTAAAGATTTATTATTCTTTTAATTTTATATATAGGATTGCCTATATGTATGTATGTGCAACATGTGTGTGCCTGGTGCCCAAGGAGGCCAGAGGAGGGCTTTGGACCCCTGGAACTGGAGTTACAGATGCCTGTAAACTGCCACACAGGTGCTGGGAACAAAAACCAGTGTTCTTTACAAGGGCAGCAAGTGCTCTTAACTGGTGAGCCATCTCTCCAGCTCTCCTTTTTGTGTTTTTGGGACAGGGTTAAAAAAAAATTGTCTAGTTCAAGGTAGCCTTGAAGTCCTTTGAAGCTCTCTTGTCAGTGTCAGGTAGGATCCATTCGTGAGTGTCTTGACTTCATCAGGACCTGCAGTCTCTTGGCTGCTCCATTTTCATTTCCTCCCATCCACTCAGCTCCTCGTGGCTCTTCTCCATTGGTTCATGTTCTATAATAACATGACATCATTCCAATCATGCTTGTGAGCCCCTTGATCCTGTCCCTATTTTGTCAGTCAGGACCCCCACAGGCCTCCATGTTTGCCTCAATCCTCCCCCGTGTCTGCACTTGGAGAGCTGACTCTACCTAGGGGAGCACATACAGCCAGGTCGGCTTGTTTCACCGGAGTTGTAACTCCAAACTCCAAAGTGCCCTTGGTCATGATGAGCAATTCTGCATCCCCTGTGGATGATCAGGCCAGAACTCTTCCTTCCTCAGAGTCCAGTTCCTCTTTCCACATTCTCCCAGCCACCAAGAAATCCACTCGCCTTGAAAATAAACAACCAAGAAGGTTTTCTGTGCTTCGCCCATCCCCAGATCTTCTACTGGGTCAGCGTAAACTGTGCCTTCCTTGCGGTGCTCACAAATGAGCTGTCTGTGCGGCTAAGGTCAGCTCGCTGCAGGTGTCCTGGATCCCATCCCCTCTCACCTACTTAGAATGCTCGTTCCTGCAGCGATTCCTTTCTCCCCTGCACTGTCAGTTTCCTTCCTCTGGGTCATCTGTATTAGTACAGTGTGCTGGAATTCATGACAGAACAGCTAAGAACTCCATTAATTGGCCCTTTCTCCTCTTTTGACCTCCCAACTCAAAATGCTTTAATATGTTAAGAGCCAGCATCCTCTTAGATCCATAACAGACTCAACACCAGGCACTGGCGGTGAAATCTTCTTGGTAGTTTTAACATTTTTTTAAAAAAAAATATTTTATTTATTTTATTATGTATACAATATTCTGTCTGTGTGTATGTCTGCAGGCCAGAAGAGG